AAAATTGTTTTAATAGTGAATAAAAATGGAAGATTTAGTTGGGAGTTGTTGAGATGAGTCCAATGAAGAACAACTTGTTTATGATTTATCTTCACACAACCTTAATTAAAATGTTATTTTACTTGCCTCTATTGTTGTTGTTAGATCTAATAATCAAATTATTAAATAATAACTATTATTATTATATTTAATAATAATATAATCATCATCATCATCAAAATGATTGTAATAGTAAATACAAATCAATTATTTGATGGGGTTTTTATCAATCCCATAAAGCACTATATTTGGCACTAACATTAAATGACAATTATAACTAACCAAAACTAAACATAATAATAAATGTTGCATTAAAACAATGACAAGTAAGAGTAAAATTAAACTGAAAATTATCCGATGAAATGGGACACTTTCACTTTATTTGATTTTTTGCTTTATTTATTTAGTTTTTTTTTACTTTAATGCCTAATATGAAACTTTTTGGCTTAATTTGTTGCTTAGGACATCAGAAACATATTTACACAGATTTGATGCTGTTATGGTGAAATATGTTTTAGCTGTAGGTGTCTGTGTGGGGTTTTTTTAGCTTATGACCTCAGTCTGTTAAAGAAGAAAATCTTAACCTCTTTGGTTTCTGGAAGTCCAGTCAGATTGGATGAAATTCCGGTGGACAACCAGAATTACTGCAAAAATATGCAATGATAAAGGGGTGGGAGGAGGGGTATACATGCATCGTTATAAAGCAAAAAATGGTAGAATTTGCAATTATGTAAGGACTTGGCAGGCAGAGAGTAATGAACCGACATAATATGAAGTTATCTTTCCGTCCCAGACTAATTTACTCAACCAACACACTTTGATGAATTAGCTTTGATCCCACTGGTGTTTGTTGTTCTCTCACCCTTTGGTCTGCCACTGACTTTCAAATACTACAAACAAGTTGCCAAATCACCGATGCCAGGTCAGGAAACATACAGAAATGTCAACCTTGCCTTTAGATGTAGGCACCTTAAGACTATTTTAAAATGTTTATTTATTTATGAAGCGTTTTTGAAGCCAAGACTATCCTATGACCTCTTCAATGATGATGGTGTTGATATATGCACCATCAGCACCACAGGCTCATGTCGACATTCATTCACAGATCTCTGCATGCCAATGCTGATTCACGTCCCAGCTAACCTCATTACAATGCCTGCTTGTATCTCCACGGGATTCTCATCCCATTTCTTTCTACATTTTTAAAGTCCACAATTTGGAGCTAATTATCCCACAGTGGAATGGCCAGATTGTGAGTAGGAGGAGAAGATTTTTAAGTCCCGTGTAGGAAAGACCAACAGAGGATTGCAGAGAGAAAATAAAAACACCAGCTATGTAAATTGCATTCCTTTTGAAGTAGAGAATGGATTCATTACTGAGTAAATCGTTAAAGAAATAACACTGCTGGTGTCAGGATGCATTAATTTCTTATCCCATCATCATCCATTCAGGTCACATTTCAACACGTAGCCTACTGTCATTATTCCTTTTTTAATTTTTTAGTTATGATGAGGGGTAATTGAGTTGACAGCACCAACAATGTCCTCTGTGACTTCCTCAGCAAAGTTCAATGAGAAGTTAAAACAGTAAATTTACTGAGTAAGTTTACTAAGTTAAAAAGTCACTGCTTATTAATCTACTATCAGAATAATTTTTATGTGAATCTTAATTCATCACTGATTGTTTTGAGTGTTATCTAATTAGCCTGCATTTCAGCTGTTGAGCAAATGCAGATCAGGGGTGAGATGAAGATCAGCTACAGGTGCATCTCAATAAATTAGAATGTCGTGGAAAGTTTATTTATTTCAGTAATTCATCTCAAATTGTAAAACTTGTGTATTAAATAAATTCAATGCACACAGACTGAAGTAGTTTAAGTCTTTGGTTCTTTTAATTGTGATGATTTTGGCTCACATTTAACAAAAACCCACCAATTCACATTGTCACTGAAACTGGCGCTACTTTCAGGTTTCTCTATCATACCGGGGACTAGCTCTCTGCGCATCTTGCGTGTGTTTTAATTGGAGTGAAAATTACCTTAGAGAACTTACCTTAGAGAAGGCTATTAATATTACTGTTATTTTGTTGATTAATATGTACTTTGAACTGGGCATCCATTTTAAATGAATTTTCTCTGGGTGGCCATTTTTGTTTAAAGATCACATTTTATTTTTTTATGGATTAGAATGGTCATATATCTGTGCACATCTGAAGTTTAATTTTCCTCATATGGCATTCCTGCACAGATTAAAAAGTGTTTATATAGGACAGATGTGCTTTTCCTCAAGTGGGGACCCCAAGGGCTATTTCTGTGCATACAAGAGGTTCTTAGACCATAAAGAGAAAAATAAACCAATCTTTATTTTTAAATATCTTATTTGTTCTGCTTTGAGAGCTATTTTTAATTTCTTATTAGGCAAAACAGTTTTGTTTAATTTTATTTAAAAAAAGCAGCTTGTAGACAATATAGTCTGAAGTCTCATGTAAAATGCTATCTAGACTGTTAACAGACATTTTTGTGAGTCTCAAATCAATTTTAGAATCCCAGACATTTTTGAAAATACTGTTTTCCTTTTACTGATGATTTCAACAAAGTAGACTGTGTGTGAAATGCAGCAAAATGACAAATAACATAGCATGAAAAAAAATACACATATATGACATTCCAGTACCTTCTAATGAGACAAAACTGCAGAAAGTAATTCATTTCAAGTGAGCCCTATTGCTGTTTGTGTAAACATGTTGACCTCGTGAGCAAGCTAAGCCTGTTCTTATCACATTGCTGTGGAGATTTCCTATTAGTAGTGCCCACCAAAAAAGTTCAGCATGCCTGATGAATTCTAGCCACAGAGCACCTCAGGCACTGCAGAATTCTATAGCAAGAAATCTTGAAATTCATACCAATCTGAAGCCTTCACAGTAGAATACAAGCTCTGAAAATTAACATAGAAATGAGACAAAGACATGGACAAAATTCAACATTCCAAGCAAAAAATAATGTATAACCAAAACTGAGACAAAAAAGGTGAACAAAGAGATTTTTCAAGAGTAATGTAGCCAGACATGTATTTCCATTCATAGTGTATTTATGTGGTTTGCATGATATTCTAACAAAGGGAACAGCATCACTATCAGTCAAATCTGGTCTGGCAAAGATTTTGTTAAAAATAATTAAAGTAATCGAAGAATCATTTTATGCTTGTAAAGCTGCAATGAGAATCCAACCATATATGTTTAAAAAAAAAAATTGCCAGGCACATTCATAAGTATGACTAAAGCTATAGATCTTTCAGTATAAAAACCTAAAACTTTTGCATTATGGGTAAACTCTTAATTTCACAGTGATAAGATCTGACCTAATGTTCATGCTATTGCACAGCATTGTTAAAAAAATAAAAATAAAACTAGGTTGATATATATCTTCTGTCTCTTTCCGTTAATGGTTAACACACACTCAAACTATCCCCTGAGGATAGTGACATGAATGTTTATGATGTCTATGTCACATAAAAATGTATGCTATAGGGCCTGATGTATTCACACTGCATGTGTTGTTTTAATGACTGTATCAAAGATACACATCAAGGGCACAAAAGCACAAAAAAATTGAGGTTTTTCATCTTTTAAACCCATCTACTTTAATCTTGAGGCCTTTGTAATTGTCAAGTTTGAAGAAAACGTTGTCTTTGTTGCTGAATAGGTAACGTAGGATTTAAAGGAATGGTTCACTCAAAATTTGCTGGAAATGTACTCACCCTCAGGCCATCCAAGATGTAGATGAGTTTCTTGCATCATTGGAACAGATTTTGAGAAATTTAGCATTACATCACTTGCTCACCATTGTTTCCAAAACAAAGAATGGGTGCCATCAGAACATCTGATGTTCAAACAGCTGATTCAATTATCACAATAATCAACAAGTAATCTACATTAACATCTCAACGTCTCAAGTCCATCTATTAACATCTTATAAAGCAAAAAGCTGCATGTTTGTAATGAACAAATCCATTATTAAGGCGTTTTTAAATTCAAACTGGTGCTTCTGAGCCCTCTATCCATATTATTGCTTTCTCCAGTGAACAAGTTGTCTTGTCTGAATCTGAAGAGAAATAGTCACAGATCAAGCACAGAGTAAAAACAGTATAAAACAGCTCTGAACAAATATGTTGGTGGGTTTTGATAATAGGACAACAGGGGATGGATTTTTTCACTGATGGAAGTGTTATTATGGATTATACTATAATCATTATAGACTGGACTTAATGATGGACTGGAGTTGTGTGGATCACTTGTGGATTATTGTGATTGTTTTTATCAGCTGTTTGACCTCTCATTCTGACAGCACCCATTCACTGCAGAAGACCAATTGTTGAGCACGTGATGTAATGCTAAACATCTTGGATAGCCTGAGGGAGAGTAAATGTTCTGCAATTTTTAATTTTTGGGTGAACTGTTCCTTTAGGCAAAACTGTTTATTAAACTGTTATACTCCTCTGATATTTCACTTTATGGGTGAGATCAAGCATGGGGGTCCTCTGCTGATGAATTTTCTTTTCTGTGATCTGATACTTGGTTCCTCTCGCTACCTAGGGTGTTAACAAACCATGGCCAAGAAAAATTGAATTCAGATGTTTTCATTTACCAGGCTGATGTTGAAAGAGTGATTCTGAGCTTAAGAGAACCTACAGTGCTCAACTCTCATCTAAAAAGATTCTGTGCTATTTCAGGTTCTCTGTGTGATGCAATAAACACCCTGGATTTGCTACAGTACTACTGTTGTAATTATTTTTTTCATTTCTGATTCACAATGTGCCTCTGTCTTGAACTATAATACTTAGTGACCACTCTGGAAAGTTATTGCAAGTTGTTTTATTAGTGTTCTACAACATTGACATGTTTTAAAAAATAAATTTGAAAAATCATATTAATTGAAATATGACACCAAATCTAAATGACTCCAAGATATTGACAAATAAATACATACGTAAAACATTACATGGCATGCCACAGACAAACATCGATATCAATAGTCAGTTTGGACAGAAATTGTGAGCAAACACCGAACATTATGGCCTAATAAGACATTCAGACAGTTCATTCAAACTCACAAGCACTCATATACCAAAGTGTATATAGACTGCTAAATAAATACAATTTGATCACTCTTCCTTCATTAAACCTCTCAAAACAAGACTGAAAAATCAACAATAGACAAGAAATTTAATTGTCAGATGAGGATAAACCATGCAGGTTTATTACTGTATTGCAAAGCAGATACACTGCCAAAGCAGTCTGACCCGTTAGTTCACTAAATTAATTGTTATGGTGTCATATACAGCAGCATGTTATATCCAGAGATGTGTAGACATGCTTTTACATTTAAAATTATTATATTATATTTGTTTTTTATGTAAACATGTACTAGAATGACCTTCTTAGGTCAGGTTTAGATTTTAAGACAAAGAGAAGCTCATCAATGTCAATTTCAAAACAGCAGCCCAATCAGAAGAGGCCAGGGGTGGGGAAAGTGTCCCAAGCTGTAGCCGGGTGATTATTTACATTTTCAAAAGCAGCTAATTTTATTTCTGCTGTTCGACTATTTGTATTATTATTTTTCTTTTTCTTTTTGCTTGTCTCATAAAAGCGTTTGAGACCCCTGTGATTTAACACAACAACCATTCAGCCTATTGGTTTTTGAACCAAAATCAAACCGAACCAAATAGCAAATAAAAAACAAATAGCATTCGTTCAGAGGACTGAATGGAAATGTATCGCCTGCCTCCTTCATGTTTATGTAAGGTAATAATGCAATACTGACAAGTACACAGATACACAGAGACTGCAAATTGCCACAACATAAAGAAATACAAACAACAACAAAGAACATGAAAATGCAAACAATACATTCTAACATATTCATTCCAATAGTGGTAACGACTGCATGATCTACGCTTTAGTTAGACAACAGGTTAGACTAAAGGTATACATTTATTAAGTCAGACTACCCCTTTTCTACAAAGGACACACTCGACTATCTGATAAAGAGAGCTGCTTCGGACCTTCATTCCCACTTTGCTCCGACTCTTCCTCGTCATCCTCACGCTTCTCCATGTTGCACATGGGCACGCGAGCAGCAATGGTGGACATCTCTTCAAGGTTACTCTCAGCTGTGGCAGTGATGGCTCCTTTGTCTGATGTCTGGTTCAGATTAGTGGAGTCCAAATTGGTGACATTTCCTTTAAACATCTGGATCAGACACTTCCTGAACTGAGAGAAAGAGTGTTAGTTTCAGTGTGAATACAGATCATAGTCGTTCCATTGAATTTCCTAAAGTGCTATCAAGGAAATCACTCTCCCACACATACACACACACACAAATAAAATCAAATGAGGGTTTTAATTATAAGAGTATGCTCAAAACACAAAAGAATATATTTCATTAATATTTCCAGTCTCTAAACCACCAAGTAGAGATTTGTTTTCAGTAGTTAAACATTTGCACAACCTCTGCATCGAAACGAGGAAAAGGTCATTAAGCAAGATGTATTCTATGTAAAAACAAGGACATTTTGACCTTAATTAAAGCAGATAAGGTCATGAGCGTAAATATATTAATTTCCTCAAGGTTTTGGAAAATGAGGTACCCTGGGTAATTATAATACCAGCTACTCTCTCTGTCAAATTTATAATGCAGAGAAACTACGGTCGGTATACATTTACAGAATAACACAAGCAGAACGTACAAAGACAAACTGCACTGATCTGAAATGGAAAAGTTACAGTAAACTTTAACTGCTTATACAATAACATAAGCTGTTGAAGTGTTAGATGATAAGCACATGATAACACTTTACAAAAATGTTCATTTTGTTAATATTAGTTAATTAGATATTATGAACTAAAAATGAGCATGTACAGCATGTATTAGTGAAAGTTAATGTTCTTTTACAACTAATACATTTTAATATTTAATTGACAATTTTTACATGTATTAACATTAATGTCTTATAAACAAATACAAACAATTGTATTTTCATAAATTAACATTATATGCTGAAAAAATATTGTTCATTGTTAGTTCATGTTACCTAATGCATGAACTAATGTTAGCAAACTGAGCAGCATATTATATATTCTACCAAGGCAACTGAGCAGTATATATGTTCTATTTCAGATCTATCAAATCTATATTCAATCCATTTCAGAAAAGACTGACAATCAGCTTTGCATTCTTACTGAATACACCAAATAACAGCAAACTTCAACAAAACATGTCTATATACAGCCCGTATATGACATGTTCATTTTTGTAGGATTCTCCATGTACTCAAGAGCTCTTGTGATATCCAAATACAATGCAGCATTACAGATGCTATATGGTTAAAGAAAACATCCCTATTCTCACTCTCGAGTGTTTGTACTCGTGTCTCTATAATGTAGTCTGTCTCTCTCTCTCATGTCAAAGAAATGTGAGACCCTGTGACCCTTGACCTGAATTTATTCTGGGAACAGCTGGGAAGGAACTGGGTTAGTTCTGGAAGATGTGCACAGCTCAAGGGGTCCAGGAGCCTCCGCTCTAAACCACCTGGGACCCACATCCTAGGGGTGGTCATCAGAGTCACATGACTACAAAAGATCACTGCTTCGCACTTTACATCAAACGACACACTACAGGGACACTGAGGAGAAATTTCCCTCTCCGAGCTTAATGTATGTGGCTTAATGTATGTCAAAAAAATAAATAAATAAAAAAGAATGAGATATCGTGGAGCAACTGTGCACACAGTATCGCTCATAATGCGTAACTACAGAATATCTTTAAAATGGAAATAGTCAGAGGTTTAAACCATTGTTTGCCCAGGACGACAAAGCAATTGAAGCAACTGAATTGTAGGGCCTAAATCCTCCCCTTAGGAAAGCTAAAGGAACCCAAACATTTCCTGAGGTGGATTTGTAACTCGATAGATACAAGGAAGTTTTCATTGGGTATATATGGATCACTCAACCTCTGTGAATTTTAACATTAAATATGAATATTTCATATATTTTTGAACTAAGAAAATGGAATCCCCTCAACCAAAACTGTCAGCGTAAAGATCATCAGATGTCTGTGATTTATCCCTGACATATGATAAAAGAAAGAATTGTAGAAGTTCAGACCACCTGCTCATGCAATGGTGTTTCTAGTAGAGCACAGTCAATTCTGACAAGATAGCTATAACCATTTCCCATATAGTGCAATAATTATTAAATGATGTTTACCGCAAAAAAAAAGATGAGTTTGTTGTTTAATGTCTTCACTCCTTGTTGCTTTTCTGTCTTTCATTGATTGATAGCATAAAAACACTACAAATCGATTCTTAATACATCAAATATAAAACCCTATAATTTTCTATTCTCAGCTTATAGGTATTAAGCTTATAAGTATCTGTCCAAACTTATAAGCATTTTATTTTTGTAAAATGTGTAAGTAATCCGAAAATGACAGATAAGGAAGACAAATGGCAAAGACGTACCTGCTTATTCATAAAGACATAGATGATGGGATTGTATACAGCTGCAGTCTTTGAGAAGAAGGCCGGTATGGAGCCCAGGCGAGGATCAATATGAATTGTGGGACAGGCAGTGACAGTGATAGAGAATGCTGCATAAGGCGTCCATCCAACCATGAATGCAACTATCATTACAATGACCATCCTCGCCACCTCTCGGTCAGGCTTACGCGCATTACCCAGCCTTCCATGAGTGTTCGATACCTATTAAACATATTAGAGTTCTAAGGTCAAATGCAGTCAAAGACTAAATTAACATTCAATGTTAATGTACAATACACAACCAAACAAAAGCTTTTTAGCTGTTTGACCAGTTTTATTCAGTATTTTGCTCTTTATTTATTTATATCTAATGATCTGCTATAAAGCAAGTAATGAAAATCAAGACAAGAGTACAGTATATTACCAACCTTTCTGAGCTTCTGCATAAGTTTACCATAGGAGATAATGATCACACCAAGAGGAAGGATAAAACACGTAATGAAAAAGGTGATGATGTAGGTGTGGTCGTAGTAATCAGTCGAGTACCTTAAAGAAAGAAAACAGAGACTTCAGACCTCCTCTTATCTTTCCTACATGTCATCTTGCAGGTACTTTTGGTGTGTTCAAGCCATGTTGGAAAAATCACATTTACGAGTTAAAAGTACATGAGTGCCACCACAAAGTCATAATTACGAGTGGAAAACTTTTCTTTAAACCCCAAATTTCCAAGTTGGGGGTGTGTCAGTGAGAAAACATGTCAGCCGCAATGGATGCAGCATCTGTATTGTTGAAATTAACTTTTTTAAATTTACAATGAAACTAGCAAAGTTGCATGCACAAAATATTATGGTACAGTACAATTATGATAGAATTTATAATGATTCAATTTACAGCATCTTCATAAATTAAATAAAAAGGTAAAAAAGCAAAAACACACCTGATGCACATTCCTTATTCATCATTTAATAGAAGAAGAGTTCATTTTTTTGTAGAAATACATCGCCATCTTGCTCCAACAAAAGTGACTTGAATGCAATTGAGTTCACAATTACGACTTCCCAACTAATAAATACAAACTTCCCAGGAGGACTTGAACATACCATTTGAGCACAAACTTTAGTGTGGATAATTCTGCACTAATCTTTAACAGTAAGATCACATGCACGTTTTACACTTGCATAATATGCTTTGTGTGCTTTGTGATGTGCTTTGTTCAGTCCAAACAAACATTGCAACAGAACAATTGAGTAGTAAGCACCTGTAAGCTCAAGGCAGTGTCAAAATGTGGATAACTGAGACTAAATAGACACCAAAATTTACAAGCTTACAGTTTTGCTGTCAGAGATCTCATCTGCATTACTCTACTGAACATCAACACGGATGCAACTATGCCCCGCAATGGTAAAAATATTCCCCATCCTTGGTCTTCTCTGTGTCACTGTGCATTCCCTATTTACATGTTTTTGCACTGTTTGTGTTCCAAGGCCAAGGCTAAGCCACAGCCACAAATGTTTTGTGCCAGTCTCTTGAAGGCAATTTTTCAACTGATGGCTGCATGGCATCAGCCTTGGGTTTATAAGTGGTTTCTTTTTTTCTGTCACAATATAACACTCAGGAAGAAGCCTTGACTTGAACTCCTTGTCTGTCTCCAAATTATGCCACTTTAAGGAACATGTGCAAGGCACATTATATATAACTGTGGATGTTGTTCTGTTAATACACTCTAAAAAATGCTGGGTTGTTTCAACCCAATGTTGGGTCAAATATGGACTAACCCAACTGTTGGGTTAAATTTTGGTTACATTTTTAAATTAGCTTTTTGTCAGCCGCAATGGATGCAGCATCTGTATTGTTGAAATTAACTTTTTTAAATTTACAATGAAACTAGCAAAGTTGCATGCACAAAATATTATGGTACAGTACAATTATGATAGAATTTATAATGATTCAATTTACAGCATCTTCATAAATTAAATAAAAAGGTAAAAAAGCAAAAACACACCTGATGCACATTCCTTATTCATCATTTAATAGAAGAAGAGTTCATTTTTTTGTAGAAATACATCGCCATCTTGCTCCAACAAAAGTGACTTGAATGCAATTGAGTTCACAATTACGACTTCCCAACTAATAAATACAAACTTCCCAGGAGGACTTGAACATACCATTTGAGCACAAACTTTAGTGTGGATAATTCTGCACTAATCTTTAACAGTAAGATCACATGCACGTTTTACACTTGCATAATATGCTTTGTGTGCTTTGTGATGTGCTTTGTTCAGTCCAAACAAACATTGCAACAGAACAATTGAGTAGTAAGCACCTGTAAGCTCAAGGCAGTGTCAAAATGTGGATAACTGAGACTAAATAGACACCAAAATTTACAAGCTTACAGTTTTGCTGTCAGAGATCTCATCTGCATTACTCTACTGAACATCAACACGGATGCAACTATGCCCCGCAATGGTAAAAATATTCCCCATCCTTGGTCTTCTCTGTGTCACTGTGCATTCCCTATTTACATGTTTTTGCACTGTTTGTGTTCCAAGGCCAAGGCTAAGCCACAGCCACAAATGTTTTGTGCCAGTCTCTTGAAGGCAATTTTTCAACTGATGGCTGCATGGCATCAGCCTTGGGTTTATAAGTGGTTTCTTTTTTTCTGTCACAATATAACACTCAGGAAGAAGCCTTGACTTGAACTCCTTGTCTGTCTCCAAATTATGCCACTTTAAGGAACATGTGCAAGGCACATTATATATAACTGTGGATGTTGTTCTGTTAATACACTCTAAAAAATGCTGGGTTGTTTCAACCCAATGTTGGGTCAAATATGGACTAACCCAACTGTTGGGTTAAAAAGCTAATTTAAAAATGTAACCAAAATTTAACCCAACAGTTGGGTTAGTCCATATTTGACCCAACATTGGGTTGAAACAACCCAGCATTTTTTAGAGTGTACATGTCCATGCCAGAGAAACACAGAGATTGAAAAACAAATATTGGATAAACAGAGTGAGTAACTGAAGGAAGGAGGGTACATTCAGTGAAATAGTAATTTGAGCTCACCAGTTGGGTTCACAGGTGGTGCCAATTTTGCTGACTGTATAACTGTTCCAGCCAAGAACTGGAGGGATTGTCCAGATGAATGAGAAGGTCCAGACAAAAACAAGACCCATCGCTGCGTGCTTGCCTCCCATCCGGACATTTTTCAGAGGACGACAGATCACAAAATAACGCTCAAATGCCAAGATTGCTAAAGACCACAAAGCCACAATCCCTAGAAACCAAGAAGGTACACCCATCATTACTGTACTGTGTCAGTAATATAATATGTACCTGTACTGACATTTAACAAGAGATGGAAACAGAAGTTCTGTGTAACATGAGAAGGTCCAGACAAAAACAAGACCCATCGCTGCGTGCTTGCCTCCCATCCGGACATTTTTCAGAGGACGACAGATCACAAAATAGCGCTCAAATGCCAAGATTGCTAAAGACCACAAAGCCACAATCCCTAGAAACCAAGAAGGTACACCCATCATTACTGTACTGTGTCAGTAATATAATATGTACCTGTACTGACATTTAACAAGAGATGGAAACAGAAGTTCTGTGTAAATTTGACTTAAACTGAATTCATTAGATTTCAGCTTGATTTTCAGAAAATCTATTATTTTACATTAAAAGCAATGAGCATCATGGGAAACAAGAACAACTACTGGATGTGTTGGATCAGGAATGAAGAGACAGGGAGTCCAGGGTGGAGATGAAGAGTCTTTTATTAATGTCGCTTACTAGTCACGTGTCAGATGAGAAGTGGCCCATGAGAAGAGAAGAACAGCAGGGAGGGGGCAACTCCTCAAGCTCAAATAAAACCCTGATTACCTGATTGCAGGTAACTGTGGAAGCCATTTATCCACCACATAAGAAAAAAAAATCATGCTTGGGTGAATCACAGTTATAAAATGTCAAAATGATTAGATAAAAAGTTGACTTTTGTCGTAATTTCAACTTTATATCTCAAAAGTAGACTGGAGCTCATAATTTCTACTTTTCATGTCATACTTATGATTTACCAAAGCAAGATTTTTTTTTCTTATGTAGAAGAAAAGGGCTGATTAGTAAAACAAAGACAATATGCACAGAATCAGGGCTTTGCATAAACTCTTCTATTTTGTTTTAACATTTACTCAGTAAAACTAAACTAGTACTCTAATTACTACACTTATGATGGTATTGTAATGGATGGATGGATGAAAATGGATGAAAATTGATCATGATTTACTACAGTAACTATAGTTTAAGTATTTGCTGTAAAACCTCAGTAACCACAGATTTACCATTGTTTTACTATAGTAACCTTATTTTAACCATGATATGTGTTGTACAAAAACAACAACAACATGCCAATAGAACTATATAATCTTCCAAAATAAAGAAAGAAATTCAATAGGGAATCATATCTATAGCGTTAGTCACTGTTTTTAACATAGTCTACTAATTTTCCTCCACTGATTTTTCATATTGAATGTTACTAATAAATATACTGGGATAAATCCTGGTAGGTAGTAACTAAGAAATAATACTATTATTTAAAGAATAAAACTAGAAAAGGCCAGCAACAAGTGGAACACATACTACAATAGAACTAAATGACAAAAATGTGCAATTTGTTACCACTAACAATGGAATTGTCACTGGGAATGGCTAGTAGCAGAGGAATAAGTACTAACAAATAAATATAATAAACTGTAACATAACTAGTAACTACTTAGTTTAAAGTAATACATGTTACACCTTTTGGTATAGTTATATAATAACTCACCGAAAAAAGTGACAGCGAATCCCTCCAGCACACACGCCCAGACGCCCAGGAAGAAGTAGCCTCGTGCATTAGTTAGAAAACTTATAGTGCCTCCTGTCAGTGAAACTAGAAAATCAGCAACAGATAAATTAACAATAATGTAATTCAACGGTTTCCTTAAATGTTTGAATCTAAACGTCACAAGCATAACGGTGAAGTTCTCTGTTAAAGACAGTGAAGTCACTATGAACATCAGACAGGCGAGGAAAGTGTAATTCCAGGGCGCAACAGACTTGAGGGGACCCGAGAACGGATCGTCCGGTGTGGTGATGTCGGTAGACTCGGTGACAAAAGACCCAAACGATTCCATGACAGTAATTAGGGCGGGCATTGGGATAAAAAAAGACCAGGGGGAAAAAAATCATAAAATCATCACTAGGGAGCTTCTTGAAAGTTCAAGACAGGTGTTTTTATACTAACAGACACAGAATTTGCGTACTGTAAAAATAATGTCTGTTTAAAAATAATGATATTAATTAAAACACACACATAAATAAGTGTAAAATTAATGTGTGTTGTATACGTGTTCTTATTATTTAATAATTTTCGAAATATTCCAATCTTTTCTGGTAAAGCAATCTACTTGAGGCAGAAATCTAGAAGAGCGCCTTTGCGTAAAGGTTGCAATTAAACGTCACAGGTCCGCTCGCTTTGCGTCCACAGTTGAGCATAAGTAGATTCATGCTGTTCTCCTTTATATATACAGTCCGTCAGCATGGCCATCTCAATCCCTCGGGGTAATGAGAAAAGTCCATTTCCAAGTTTACCGAGACATTTCAGAGGGGCGTCACGCGCTTTGCTCTCTTAAAGGTGCAAGCAGTCGTTTTTTTGCTAATGAAAAAGTTTTACACATACAGTTCTTTTGAAAAACTGTCATTAAAATAATACACACTCACATGAAATGAAGTCTCCAGACATATCACTCTTCTAGAAAAAGATAAAAAGGGAGAAAATAGCTTTTATTTTATATGGAGCAGGTTGCCCCCTCATGGACACCTCCATATTTATATCACATTACCATTTGTGTCATTACAACCAAAGGTGCAAAAATGAGGTATGCAACATATAGACATATGCACTCAAAATCAAACCAAGCGGGGCGTCGGACGGCAGGCTCCTCTATCTACAAAACGGTATATGTTCATCCTTTCTGTACATCCAAGATGTAGATGAGTTTGTTTCTTCATCAGAAGAGATTTGGAGAAATTTAGCATTACATCACTTGCTCACCAATGGATTCTCTGCAGTGAATGGGTGCCGTCAGAATGAGAGTTCAAATGGATGATAAAAACATTACAATAATCCACAAGTAATCAACACAACTCTATGTGTGAAGTCAAAAGCTGCATGTAAGAAACAAATCCATCGAGGTGTTTTAACTTTAAACTTTAAAAGTCCATTCGCCATAATAATGCTTCATCCAGTGAAAAAGTCTACCCCATGTTGTCTACTCACATCAAAATCCACCAACATTTTTTAGAATGGCTTTAGCTGTTTTCTCTTGTAAATGGTACTTGTGTAAACTGATCTGTGTGTATTTCTCTCCTGATTCAGACGAGACATTTTCACTGGAGATATATTTTTCACTGCAATATTACTGATTGAGGACTCAGAAGCAAAAGTTTGAAATATCTTAATATGGATTTTTTTCTTACAAACATGCGGCTTTTCACCTCACAAGACATTAATTGATGGACTGGAGTTGTGTGGATTACTTATGTATTATTGTGATGTTTTGATCAGCTGATTGGACTCTCATTCCTACGGCACCCATTCACTGCAGAGGATCCATTGGTGAGCAAGTGATGTAATGCTAAATTTCTCCAAATCAGTTTTTATTAAGAAAGAAACTGAATATTTTTAATCTGCTAAATATTTTGACATGAGAGATTATTTGATGAAAGCATATCAGAAGTATCTTCTCCCATAGATAATGTCTGAAATGCCTCCTTTCCCTGCCTCAAACTGACAAGAGGGAAAATACTAGGAGTGATTCATCTGCTACAAGATTAAACCCCATGATTAGCTGTGCAGATTAAATTAAGAAATAATTAAGTAGGAAAATGCAAGAAACTGAGATAATATCCAATACACAAGTGTCTTATCTGTAACATTCCTTACTGTCGTTCCTATTCAGATGCTTAGAAACAATACATTACCACGGCACTTGCACAATGCACATGTAAGTAATTTATGCATCCTATGTGGATTGCTCAGTATAGTATGCAAAATTGATTTACTTGCCGGTCTCAAAATTAAATTTCACAGAACCACAGGCATAACAGGAAAATAAAAGTCTTCATTTGTTTAGACTAATTACTACTTTACTGTAAAGAAAGGGTCAATTGTTTGTGAGCAAATTTTTAATTAACTTGAGTAAGGTTCATCTAAGCAGCCTAGTGCAAGGTTGCTTTGAGGGGTCCTTCTCTTTGAGGATAGATTATGTTTGTGTGTGTGTGTGTGTGTGTGTGTGTGTGTGTGTGTTTGTGTGTGTCTGCCTCAGTCATCGACTTTATTGGCTTCCAGTAATACTAATTTCAGTCCGTGCCTAGTCGCTTAGTGATGTGCCCAACTGAGTAATAAGGATCTCTGGACCTTTTAACACATAATGGGACACGTCAAGAAACCCGTCTGATTTTTTTGCACAGCTGCAGATTCTTGGTAGCGGTGGCATTAAAATGACCCTAGTCCCGCTGAGCAGTTAAACATTCTCATTTACTTTGGACCCTCTTATCAGTGTTCTAACTCTGGCTCACCATTGTAGATGACAGGCTGCCCATCATATAAGCACAATCTAATTAATACCAGCACTTTTAAATTGTGCCATTACCGTGTGATGCTCTGGTTAATGGATTATTGTGATGTCTGGAATTGACCCAGAGTGATTTATTACTCACTTATTTGCTTTTATGTTTTCACCTTTTTTTGTGGTGGCATTTATGTGACAAGTGGTCTGATAATTTTATAGCTTTGCAGTTGTGACATAAAATTGTAGCTTAATTTTACCTGCTACTGCACAAGTCTAATGTAACCTTTATAAATCCAAGCGTCATTTATTGAGCAAAAGCCATATTGGAGCTGTGAGGGAGCTGAGTGCAAGTATTTCTGTAAACACAGTGATTGTCAGTCAACCTTTTCCACTACAGAATCATTACACATACAATCCACAGTTGGTTGGACTTTCTACCATGAAGATGAAAAATGTAAGCCTATCTTCCAGGAAGACGATTGATTGAAATCTTATTATCTTGTGAATTCCTGTTGATTTAATAAAAGGAAGCAAACCAATCACAAAAACGATAATTTCTCTGACCAGAAGGTGTGATACAAGATGCTCTTTTAGAAAACTCCATTCATGATGAGCAGTTCAGACTGAGGATAAACACTTTAGCTTTGGATTAATGGGATGGGGGTATATTTAGCACAGATTCAATGTTTGAAATAGTTCTTGAAAAAATGTTAAGAGCTCAGATGTTGTTAGCATGTGGATCTGGGCAGCCATCCTTCCAGGGACCCCATCTGCCCTCCAAGCCCTAAATCGCCTCTTCCCATCTGCCTCATTCTGCCCCCAGGTTTCTTTTGATGTCTCTCTGTAGACAACCAAGTTAGAACAACTTCAGAAATGGCTAAAGCTAATTTAATCATAATAATGTACATTACAATCTGTGAAACACTTGATAGTGTTGGTTTTTCACTTTGGTGTGATATGCATCTGCATCTACATCTATTTTTAACCGTATTTATTCTTTTAAGTATTATGCATGCAGATTTATGACCTCATATTATTTGAGAGATTGTATTAGTAAAAATTACTTTATACCATACTAAAATTTAAAATAAAACTTTGTGACCAGTTACAAGTAATTACAAGTAATGCGAGTTACGTAATCAGATTACTTTTTTCAAGTAACTAAAGTAATGCATTACTTTTAAATTTTCAAGAAAATATCTAAATTACTTTTTCAAATAAGTAACGGCAGTTACTTTGTTTTTCTCATTTATTCGCTGACACCTCTTCTGTCCCATGTTGAGAGAAATTGGGAGTAAGTGCAGAGACAGAGGCACTTCCTTCAGCAAAATTATGGATTCCTTATGGGTCAATTACTTCAGAGTATTGTGGTGCAAAACATATGTATTGTACATATTGATGGGTTGAATTTTTTTTCATTTCTCATTTAGATT